CAAGGAGAATGATGACCACGGGGCCATCCCCCCTCCCTGTGCTGCTGTGGGGTCTCCTCACCTGCTCCCTGCCTCAGCAGAACCCAAGTGTCTTCTAAAGGGAGCAGCCTTCCTCTTCACAAGTCACCCAGGCCAGGATTAACATCTGCTAAACTCAGGATTAACGAGTCTGGCAGGTAATGGGAGCGTGAAAACTTGACAGCTTCATTTGCTCCAGCCTGTGAGGTCTAAGTCTCCTGGCTTGTGAGGATTTAGCAGCAAATAGGTTCCTGACTTTGGTGTAGAGAATGAATTCCCAGATGTGAGCGGATGGACATAATTTAGTTGTTTGCAAAGTGTCTGCTATAGCTGGAGCTCTGGCTCTCTTCCCTGTGGGAGCAAAGGAGATGCTTCCGCACCAGGACAGGCTTGCCCTTGGGCACAGTCGGTCACTGCAGCGATGGAAGTGACCCATCAGCTGTGGCACCAGCAGCCACCTTGTCGGCCGGCTGCCTGCACTGGGGGCTGGGACAGGGGAATGAATGGAGCCAAAAAAGCAGGAAGATTGTGTCCAGTGACATGATGGAGCCGCTCCCCTGTGAATGACCCTGAAGTGCCCCATGTATGGGGCTGGGGCAAGGGCCAAGCCATGGGGGGGGCTGGGATTTGGACTCCTAGCTCTGCCCTAGCAGCTCTGCTAGGCAGCGAGAACGGGGTAGAAGCTACCAGCAGGACAGCCAGAGCAAGGGAAATACCTGGTTCATCCTCTCCTGTACCTGATGCCCATCTCTGTGTCTTCCATTTCCACATTTTTCTGGAAGGTTCCAGCCTCCTGGGGCTGTTGGGAAGCCCCCCTGTCCAGCAGCCCTGGTGCCAGCAGCTGCTACAGGCTCCACGCATGACAAAAATTTATATATCACCACCTTCATGGCTTGCTTGACCCTTGAAGGTGCTGAGCTCAGGTGGGTGAGGCGGCATCAGCCCTGACAGAAATCTGCTGCTTTCCAGTGCAGTCACCTGGGGACTCCCTGTCAGCACGGACGTATGAGGGTGCAGGACATCCCCAGCTTTCCCAGTATAATGTGATGGCTGTAGTTCTTGCCTCTGGCTGACTACAAGACCAGTTTTTATTCCCTAACCCACCTGCTGTGATCTTATGCCTTGATGCTCCTGAAGATGCTGTTTTCTCTAACCACCATCCCTCCTTTCAAGTCCTGCTGCATGCCTTTGCAGTTCATGCCCTCATCTCTCGTTTAGTTCTGGGAGTGGAGAATGAATCCCAGCTAACCTCGGCCCTGTTGAGATTCACAAGGGGATCTGAACATGAATTCCCCATGAGGAAAGACGGGACTCCTCCCCAGCACCCATGGTGCTCCCTGCATCCTTCTGCCTTTGTCCCCACCAGGGAGGTGAGGAAGGACTCTGCCACTGTTGCTACATTGTGTCTTCAGAAGCCTCAGCCATCCCACAGGGCAACCGAGAGCCCCCAGCAAGCAAACAGAATCCATCTCCTGTGAGTAAAGCTGGAGTCCCCCAGTGCAGCAGGCAGCTCCCGACCTGGCCTCCATTTTCATCTAGCAAGATCCTGCTACTTTGTTTCTACCTACTAACACAACAGTCAAGTCCTTCAAGCACGGCTGCAGCTTTTTTCTGCTAAGATGACTTGTTCCATCAGTTGGAAACCTTGAGTGTCCTCTGCAGTGAGCTCTCCTTCCTCACAGCACTCCCGTCCCTGCCTGCCTTTGGTCTGAAGCCTCTGCTCCCGACTGGGCCATTTACACAGGGCTGCAACAGGCGCCTGTGTTCTCTGCCGCACCAGGGTAAGGGGACAGAGTGAAACTACGGGGAAGCAGGTGTGGGTCTCTCACTGCCTCAGTGTCAGTGCTGCTCCCGTGGCACAGGGTGGAGGGATTAGGACCCTGTGCTGGCTGTGGCTGAAGAGCAAAGGCTGCGTGGCTTTGCACCACCCTGCGAGTCCTGAATTGTGGTCTGACAGCTGGAGGTGCAGGTCTGATACCCAGTCAGCAGCACTACACCGGGCTCAGAAAAGCATCCTCTCCTGAAGACCTGCTGGTTTGTGACCAGAGCAGGACAGCGCTGCGTTGCAACAGGGCTCTCTGGAGAGCCGCTGTATCACCTGGCACCACCAGTAACCGTGCACAGCTTGTACCAGCCACATGCAAGTGTCGCGCCTCAAGCCAGCAAGCGCTCGCCCCCAGCAGTGGGTGGAAATGCAGACAGCTCCTGCAGCCAGCGTGGCAGGAGCACTACAGGGCACAGCACAGCAGCAGCGTGTGTTGTGTGTCCCTGAGCCACTGTTGTGGTCTCCCTTGCTGCTCCTGACTGGGTTGGCACCCACTGCTGGAAAGGCCTCTCATGGACAGTGGCACCTGTGAGTGCCCTTCTCCAGCTATGGCAGCTCCTCTCGCTCATCTGCAGACAGAATTTGGCTGTCCCTGTCCCATCCTGATCCAGCCAAGTGTCTGCTTGAAAGGGCCTCCACAAAGCCAACGCACTTGCAGGCAGCTTGTTCAAGTTATTTAAAAAGCTGTTTATTATCACAGTAGACAAGTGGAAAAAACGTAACACTGTGTAGAGAGAAGATCTTAGCAAATTACAAAGAAGTCTTAAAAAAGTTACAGTTGTCTCTGAATTCAAGTAAACAAGGCCCTTGCAGCAAGCTGCAAATGTGTTGCTCCAATGCACGCTACAACTAGCCCAGTAAGCCTGTGAAGAGCTGCAGCCTGAAATGCTGTGCCAATAACCAAGGAAACGCCGTCTGCTCCCAGAGCAGGAACCTGCTTCCCCAAGCTTCCCCCAGCTGTGCCGTGCTCTGTGAAGCAGACCCTCTTCCCTGGCTGACCAGGGAGCAGGACACTGCGAAACCCCTCAGTTTTGCCAAAGCCAGACTGAGCTGTACTCAGACCTTCAGCCCAGCCCAAATGAGCCCTCACAGCCCAAAATCACCTCTGAAGTGAGCGGCTATGACTGGCATGGTCACTGGCACCATGTTTGGTGTCAAACTCTGTCCTACATGGAGTTGGGCTTGGTCCTCTCACCACTTACTCCGAGGCTATGTTCAGCTGCCCGAGACACTCCTGACCCTGGAAACTCTGCCTTGGCTTGTAACACCATTTGCAACAGGGCTGAGGTTATTGTCATGCTACAAATAGCTCCAAAGGCTGCTCTAAACCAAAAAAAAAAAAGGGGCAGAAGTGTCTGCATTGTAAAGCTTGGAGGGAGCTGTCAGGCACATGTTGTACTGCCTCAGCTATCAGTGAAATGAGGACAGGAGCTGGAGTTTTAAACTATTTTTTCTACCTGGTAAATGAGCAAATAATTCAGTGATTAGAGCAAACTGGGAGCACGCTTCCCTCCAACACAGGCAAATGACAATGCTGCTGAAGGCCGTTCCTGCACCAGTGTCTCCTCTACTCTGTAAGGGCAGGCTAGCAAAACAGAAACATTTTGAACAAGGTGCATGGATGTCTGATTTGTTAAAGTCACTGAGAAGTCTTCAAAGGCCTTGCCTTGGCAGATGTTTTTGCAATTGAAATCCAGCTCATCTGTAACCATGTGCCCTTCTGCTTCAGTAAACAAATGGCTCAGGTGCAGAAATCATTCATGTTAGCTGACTTTCCTCTGGCACAGTCTAGAAGCCTCATCGGTTTCCCTGTGAAAAATCAGTGCTGATACCATGGACAGAGAGGAAAAGACACTGAAAAATAATGAACACTAAGCTGTTTTTCTTATTATTTTTTTTTAAACCACAGGTTTTGTGAAAAGCGTTATGAGTATTTTAAAATGTGTTAGAGAGTTGAAGTGAGTCGACACAATTGGGGACTGGGAAAGGTGTGCTACCATGTAGGAATGGAGAAACTCTGATGTACAAAGCAAGCCTTTTTTCATGTTTTTCATGTTTACGGGGCAAATTTAGGAGATGGGAAGGCGAGGGTTCGTTGGTTTGGCATCTTAACTGGAGATTCTTCTTCCAGCCTACCACAGTTCTGTGGGTTAGTCAGCAGCTGGAGAATTGCTTTTCAAAGTTTGGAGGAGGGGTGGGGTGGTAACATGGGAGAAGGAAGGAAGCTGGACCATGCGTTTCCATTTTTGGTTCCTTGGACACACTGTGGGGTAGCATTTGAGTTCACCTTTTTAAAGAATGCCTAATTCACACACAAAAAAAATAATGAAATACCGCACTCCTTTGCAAACTGGTTTAAGGGCATCTAAAGTTACACACCCTAAACACTCTTTTTTTTTGGGGGGGGGAATAATGTTTTCTTGCTGGTCCTTATCATTGTTACTTGGTCCTTGCCTTGCACTTTCCACTAATTCAAGCATAGAATAAAAGCTTTCCGAGCAAATCTCAATCCTTCTCTGTGCTTACACGTTGCCGGGAGAAGGGATTTCTACTTGATGCAATTGATTTTCACTCATCCTTTCTCCCCAGTTAAACTAGGCAACTTCACATTGGTGTACTGCCACCAGCACAGTGTCTAGGCCAAGAGCCAAGGCAATGAACAGCCCACTAATTCATTTTTCACATTTATCTCCAGACCCCCTCCCCAGAACAAACACTGTGAAAACAGGATGTGGCAGTTTCTATGCAGCCCTCAGGAAATTTTAAGCAAAGAGTTTTACTGCCAGTTTTATGCTTTTACGGTGACGGCAGTAAGGACTTCTGGTCATATAAAAGAAAATGCATTGGTTTCAATACGGAAAAAAAGATTATTGAAAGTAATCTGAGCCTGCTGCATCCATTTCTCAAAAAAAAAAAAAAATGGCAAAAAAGCTGTGTCTACAATGCTGCCTGCAGTCAGTGGAGAAATAAGAGAAATAGGCAGAAGAAAGGTATCTATGTTGAAAACACTGGTACTATGCAATTATTATAGATGGATTATGTTTTCAGTAAAGCTACCTATGTTCATTTTCAGTTATGAGGCAGATAATATTGTGAGCTTGTGGAGTTTGCACCCTTTCTTGCATACATATATATATATACATAAATATGTACACACATATATAAGTTAGAGATTATTTACACCAGCGTACAGAATAAATCTAAACAGCTATCAAAATGCATACACCTGCCAGTGGATTTGGTCTGTTAACACTTTGCATTTCATCTTCAAAGCCCCATACAAACATTAATTATTTACCCAGGCAACTTCCCATTCACCAAAAAGGATTAAGAATCAGGAAGGGTAAGGGATGGAGCTGAGGGAGCACAGCACGTTTATAACAAGGCAGCTAATCGTGTATCTCTCTCCTGCCATAAGCACTGCAGATTTACACCTGTATAAACTCTGCGGTCCAAGTGCAGAAATAACCTTTGTAACACGAAGCTTGTCAAAATGGGAAAGTCCTCATTCAAAAGCAAATGATCCGTTCTTCATTTTCAAAAGCTTTGGCCTCTTCTTGGCTTATCAGGTTCCCATTCAAACTGGAGGGGAAATATAAAAGGGATGTGAAAGTAAGGTAGTGACTGTTGCCCATCTTCTATTTTTCTAAGGTTTTGGATCACGGCTTTGTCATGTCGGGTGAGCTAAATGCTTCTTCTCAAGGGCACACAACCGGGAACCGGCCTCAGGCAGGCAGACTACAGCAGTGCTGTTCCCGCTGCACATAGGAGGATCAAGGCTACTCCTTCAGAAGTGAAAACTGAACTAACACCTTGTCCTGAGTTCAGCTGGGAAAGGGTTAATTGTCACAGAAGCTGGGAGGTGGGCATCACCAAGGGGATATTCGATACCATGCTGATGTCATGCCCAGGATATAAGGGAAAGCGAGCTGGGAGACACGTGGGGGTATTTGTGTGGTGTTTTGGTGATGAGGTCTTTCCATTGTGTGTTCATTCTATAATCCAGTTTGTTGTTATTATCTTCTCCTTGTGTTATTAAAATCTGGGGTTACCTCAACTCACACGGTTCTACCTTTTTTTTTTTTTTTTTTGTTCTTTCACCTTACTGGGAGGGGGAAGGGGGGAAGGGAGCAACCATGTGGCATGCAGTGGCAGTGGCAGCACGGTTGCTGCTCTGCCGCTTGGTCCTTACCTATGACACACCTAAACTTCATTGAACCAAAATCGGTGTTGGATGCCCAGCTGCTTGCATTTCAGCAAGCAGCATACAGCTGTCAAAGGTTCTTGCCATGCAGTGGGCTAGTTTAAACAAACTTAAATAGTCTTCAGAGCATTTTGTGTCTTCCATGACAACACGAGAAGAAAATGCTGTTAAGTACTCCGGCATTATTAATGTGAAATGACTTAGGGCAAAATTTTCAAGTTTGGCTACACTGATATTTACACTCCTGAAAATGAGCAGCCTGGTAAGTGCAGCTTTCAGAAATGTTGAACACTATTAAAGCATTTAGATCTATGAAGATACTGGGGTTAATGAACACCTCTGAAAATCCAGGCAAGAAAAAAAAGACAGACTTTGGTCTGAAGATTCAGAATGATTCGAGCAGGAATTGATGCCTCTTCTGTAGACAAAAGCTGACACTAGCCTTTGAAAAAAACATCTTTTCCACATCCCCAGGAACCCACTAGTCAGCTGGTGAGTCAATATCCTTTCTAACCAAGAATTCAGTGTCCTTTCACTAAAACAAATATATATATTTAAAAATAAATTTCATATTCAATAATAAAGAAGCAGCAGTGCTAAAACCAGCACAGTTCTATTCACTCCTGAGCCCCCTAAGGTGAAGGAAGGAATGTTGTATTTGGCTTTGTGCCTTATCATGCACATGCATGGCTATGTGATGCCTACCTTTTCTAAAACAAGCAAATCTTACAAAAAGTTAATCTTGTAGCTTAGCACTTGGAGTGTGTTTGGAGTACTACCCAAAGAAAATCCAAGCACAAATTCTATGAACCAAATTAGTAATGCTAATTAAGTGTAACCATCTCCTGCTTGTTGGGATTTAGCTCCTGAAAAGCATAAACATGTTGCAGAAGTTTAAAAATAAATCAGGAGAAGCAAAACTTGGTCTATAAATCTAGGCCCCAATTCTGCAAACATACACGTTCTGTGAGTCAGTGGTACACACAGATGTGAGCTAACAAAACTGCTTGACATCCGTAACACACAGGGAAGTGTTTCAATGACAGAGGCTTTTTACCTATTTGAAACCCACAGCTGGAACTACACTGCTTGTCTCACATAATTTTGCTCTGAATTTTTCAGGCTGGAAAATAGTAATGCCAAAAGTGTTTTAAAGGGAAAGAAAGTTTACAAAGTGAGCAATTGAGGAGGGGATTTTTACCAGACTTCTTTAATAGCTGTGTTCTCCTTCAGAGCTTCGCAGAGGTACTTCACCCCTTTGGCTGTAATTTGATTCTGGATAAGCCTAAAAAGAAAGCACTTCATGTCAAACTAGCATGCAAACTAATTTACAGTGCACACACAACCTGTGCTCAGCTTGACATCAAGGAGCAAAGCTGTCTGCCACAAGATGACAGCTGTGACTTCCGTCTGTGAGGTTGGTACACAGTATTGGTCAAATGCCTCACATGCACTTTCAGAAACAGAGCCCAGAGTATCAGTCTTTTCCTTTTCATCTTGCATGTGGCTGCATTCTGGAGATACTGAGCTTAATTTCTAACTAATTTCTGCTGAGAACTCTTTACTTACTGGTATGAGATTGTGATATTTGGACTTTGAGACAGACTAACTTCTTAGCTCTGTTTTCTTATTAAGAACACTTTGAGATGTTTTTAAGTTATCTACAGAAAATTCTGAGTACAGAACCTGTGTAAGCCAAGTGTTTTAGCAGTTATGATTCAGAGATTGCCAAATCCTCCTGTCTTGTTTATCAGAGCAGCAAGATCTCTGAAAAATTAGGCACTGAATTTGACTCTAGTATGAGCAGGTGCGAGTCCCAGTGAAGCCACCTAAGTAGCTACAAAGATGTCTAATCTGACCTGAGAGGATAAAAAAGAAACAAAAGATCCTCACATAGCACAACTGAAGAAGCACTAGGTAATTCTTATTAACCACTGCAGACCATGCCCCAAGTTGAAAATGAACACAGCCCCCTCATCTGCACGAGTATAAAAATACTCATCAACCTAGCCTAATTCAATACGTATCTTTCAGTCTACCATGGTGTGCCCCATAGCTGTACCGTTCCATGTGACTGGCTGCTTGAATCCCACAGGATTCAGGATAAGGCCGAAAACTGGAATGACTTGAACAATCTCTTAGGGAGCAAGGGAAAGAAGGAAGCAGGGAGGCATTCCCATTAAAGGACTTTCTGCACTTGGCAAATGAATAAAGATGACAAGAGATCCAGTAGATGCTTTCAGCTACTGGAAAAACACTTCTATACAGGTCACCACCTTTTGGAGATATCCACTGTTATAACCAACAAAGTAGGATATACATTTGTCTACTAGCAGGAACCCTTGGACAATACTGAGCCATGGTAAAGACATGTATCTAGATTACTATGCCTGCTTTGGATGGGGAAAGTTTTATTACAAATTCAAACCAAACTGCTCAGTGAAGCATATCTGCAGCTGTGTGCAAAGAAATCAAGGCCTTCCTCCACTCCCACACTTATTTTCAGGGTGATTGGCACCAGAGCGCTTCTGCTTTCAGCAGAGGTTCCAAGTGCTTGTCATCTCTGACAACTAGCATGCATGCTAAGGGGTGGAACTAGGATTAATACAGGGAATGCTAGAGTGTGGTTAGCAAAGTCTTTGTATAAGCTTGCAAAGGGACTCAATTGGTTATGTTCTCTTGACCACCTGGAATGAATGGATGGCCATTTGTTTCACAGCCCACATCTGCCCAACCCCATCCACGGACAAATTATTGTGAACCTCTGTATTAGACAGCCAATGCTGTGTTTTCTTGGAAGTTTAACAAGTCTCTTTGTGATTGCTAGAAATAATACGTGGTTTCCTGGGGATTTACGTCTTATAGATCAGTTTCTTGCATGAGTGAAAGTGCTAGCCCTAGAAGAAAACATCAGGCAAACGGGACATATATTTAAGTGTCATGTACATTCTTGGTTGAAGAGTTGAGCTTGCTACTTTCATAGTATGACGATAAACAGTAAGAATCATAATAAGGTTGTTCTATTCTATTCTAGCTGTCTGCCTATATGTTTTTTGCATCTTTTGTGTTTGAGGCTGGTACTGTTCCCCTAAGAAGAGATTAAATCAATTAGCAGTTCAAAAGTTACCAGAACGCACAAACAGCTGAAACTTTTCCCTGTATGAAAGCAGGTTCAAAATGCTAGACAGCAGCTTTATTAACTTTCCATGAGACCAGTCAGCTGCGTCCAGACCATGCACAGAAAGCTTACTGTGACCTACATAGATTTGGAAGGTGAAGCTTTAATGCAGTGACTGCCAAAGAGCCTGTGCCTCTGTGGAATGTAACTCACCATAAATGCACCAGTTTCTTGTTGACCTTCAGCATCTCTGCAAAACTCATTGCTGCCTCATCATCCAGCTCATTTTTAGTCAACCTAAGTGGGAGAGAAAATGTTCACTTAGGATGTTATCATTATTTTTCAGCTCCCTATTTTTCCAGCTTGTCTGTGACTTAACTTTAGACAGCCAAAGGGGGGTGTGCTGTTCCTGCCCTGAGCAATTTCTAAAGGCTGGACACAAAGAGATACTGAAGAGAAGCCCTGGAAGTTAAAGAGACAAGAGCATCAGATTTTTATTTCTCAGAGCAATGTTCTCATGATGGTTTAGTGTCTAAAATGTGGATGAGGTGTGGTGGAAAAAGGTAGAGACAACACTGAAGAGGTGCAAAAGCTGGGGACGAAGAGCTTGACTTCAGAGGATGGAAGTGAGAGAAGATGGGGAATGGAAGATGGAGGAAGCAGAGTGAAGCATGACACTGGGACATTGGAATGTGTCCTAGAGGACACTACTCATGTCCACATTCTTCCAGAGGGATATATCTCATAGCTTGCTGGTAGTGAAAGCATAGGGAATGGGGGGAGGGAGAGAAGAAGGAGGGACAATAGGAGGAGGCAAGATGATTGCAGGAAATCAAAATAGCCTGCAGCTTTCTCTGGAGAAAGAAGAGGAGAAGAAGTAGACCACACTGTCAATTACCAGAATATTTTCACTGAGTTGTTGTGCTGCATAGCTTCAGCAATACTTTTGCCTCCCTCTGTCGTGATGCCATTGAATGCAAGACTGTGAAGTAAAGATACAAAGGTGTAAGAACCAGTCAGCATCACTTGGCCCTTCCACTGCCAAATACCAATGAATGTCCTGGATGATCTGTTTCCCAGTTGTACAAGTCAGCATTTGGGTGTTTCAAAGGCTCACATGCTTTGAAAACCGGCAAGTCCTTATGACTTTTACAAGTGAGAACAGTTCACAGGCTGCAGCCTCATACAGGCCATAAGGTTTGCTGCCAGTGAGCTGTACTCTTGAGACGGACAGCAGAGTTGCAGACAGTGATTTTAGACTCAAGGGTTTTAACAAGGACAAAGAGTTGGTTCTTAGTAGTACACAAGTTTTTACATGCATTTGTCATCCCAACTCCCTGTACAAACTGGGCACTTTGTCCTTTAAGTCCTTCACACACCCAAATATCTCATTGTTCTTCCAAACACAACACCTTCTGTTGTGTATGGAGAGATGAGCTTGTAAATGCATGCTTGCCATTATAAACCACAAACATTTCTTAGTCTGCTCTTCATTCTTTGAATAGACTTTGGCAAAATCATCCAGTTGAAGCTATGCTCCAGGCTTTGAGTGTTCAAAAAGTATTTCCCACCTCAAAAGCAAGGACAGAGCCTGAAAATAGTGTGAGGTTTCAAAAAAAGAGAGAAAGAGGAATCAAGTAGGGCAATGGCACAAATACATGTTAGCACAAATCCCTGTTAGCTTCAGCTGAAACTAAATATTCTCAGGCCATCATGACTAGGCCTAAAAATGGCAAATATGCTATAGTGATGTAGCAGGGACCATCTTCCCTTAATCTTAGCTTTATGCTACCACTGGAGCTAACTAGGAATTCAAATAATGAAGCAAGATTAACCAGTGGAAGGTAAGAAATGAACCCAAGTACAAGTACACTGCAGAGCAGAAGATTCACTCTCCACAGGTGCCAGAAAAACCTAGGCCTAGCCAGCACAGTTACTCCTCCTTATTTTTACAAACACATTCATCAGCATATTTGTTCTCCTCTGAGAATCTCTCAGCTCTGATTCAGGTTCAAAATGTTTTATTTCAAGTCCGATGTGTCTGGATGGATTCTGCAATTACGGGAAGACGGCTATTTCAGATAGCTTTTAAGTTTAAATATATGTAGGTCACTGCACCTGTTCACCATTTAATTTTTTAAGCCCAGCTATCCACTTGCAGAAAGGAGGACAAGGCACCAGCTCTGAAATCCCTGAATCTGAAGTGGCAACAATAAACTCTACAGAGATCCCCAAACTCCCGGAGTCCTGTATTTCTAAAGAAATTAATGCCATGTGCCACCTTGTGGGGAAACCAAGGAGCCTTGTCTGCTCCCTCACCGTGGAGGCCAGTGGAACTGGCGGACAAATCCAAAGGACCACCATGAAACCAGTGCTCCAGCTGTGTGGAGGGACTCCAGAACAGCAGCCAGCCACCACAACATGCATCTTTAAATCCCTAGCCAGCATTTGAAAGTCTGGCAGGCGATGTGCTGTTTTACACTGCTGGCTTCTCCCCGCGCTGTGCGTCCAACTTCACCCATGCTAGGGCTTCCAGAAGGCTAGTTTGAGATGAATCCCTGCAATCCAGTGAGAACTACAGCTCACTGAGCACTCAAGGTGTGGTGTTGTAGCTCCACTGGAGCACAGGATGAGCCTGGATTTAAGAACGCCCCAGACCCTACCCAAGCAGTTTATTGCTGTACCCTTGCAAGAAGAACTGTTACACTGAGTTCACTGGGAGCCTGATTCTGTGACAGCTGGTGCACCCTCTGCTAATGCTCTCAGATCAAAATGGCACCCACTGCCCATGTGCTTTCATAAATGCCATTAACTCTGTGCAGCAAGAGGGGAGGAGGTGCACATAAAAGAAAGGATGCCAGCCCTGCAATACTTTTAACTTGCTTAACGGCTGCACAGGGCCTTTTGATTCAATCTGGCCTCTTGCTTGCACCAGAAGCCTGTTGGTTACACAGGGAATGCTGCAATACCAACTGGCATTCCAAACTACACACTTGGTGGGAAGACTCATCGCTTCAAAGCACAATGGGAAAGCCAGCACTACACAGAGCTGCCTGGCTCCACTGGTGTTTTACCTCACGTTTGTTAACCTGGGGTGGTTCCTCAGGGCCTCTGCAAATGCCTTTGCTCCTTCGTCTCCAACTTGATTACCCCACATCCTGATGAAGAGAAGAAACCAGGAGATATCAGGTGTGCTACCCTCTTTCCCCTTGGGACTGTATTCTCCCTTTTTTCTCTTCCCTCCCCTACCCCCCTGATTACTTCACACTTTCAGGCTTGTGAGAAACGGTGGCAGCTCCCCCTCCCGCTGAAGCAGAGATGTTCCAGGGGGGGCAGCTCCCTTTCCGGCTGAGCCAGACATGTTCCACTCCCTGCACACCATGTCACCAGCCTCTGCTGACTCACCGCTACCCTAAGGCCATAGCACTGAAGCAGCTCTAGGAGAGAGCCTGCTGCAGCAAGAGTGCTTTTGGGATCACCTTGCTGCACTGGGCAAACCCTCTGCAGCCCTGTATCCTTAGAGGGTAAAGGAGTCTTGTGGTCCTGTACAGTGAGCTCCTGTGAGAAATACACCAAGTCCTAAATCCTATCATTTCCCTGCTCAGCATTTCCTCCCCAGAGCCCTGCTGCAGTTGTCCTGTTACCTGTTGGGCGTAGACTGGCCTCTACATAGTCCAAACTACAGGTATTAGGAAAGACTCATCAGATGCACAACTGCACAGGGACCCACACCCAAACAGGTGACTCTCTGAAGTGAACTGCTCAGTCAGCTCCCCCTCTCCTTCAGAATAGTCTGGCAAAACAGTTACAATGCCTTCAGCACCATACCTTCCTCTTCAGCAGCTGCCGAGAGAGATCAAGATCTCACAGGGACACTGGGCTCTTCCACACATTTGTAAGGAATAGTATTTTCTATGACAAAACAACCCTTGGTAACACAAAGGGTTAAGAGAATGCAACACGGCAAAAGCTGCAGAGATTTGATCAACATTTAATAGCAATATCTGTCAAATCTTTTCTGTGCAGACCAACTACTTTGAAAATTCACCCTGTATTATGAGGCTTTAAAGTGCCTCTGCTGAGGTATAAGGTTTTTTTACAGGGATCGTGGCTTGGTGACTCAGCCACACTCAGCTTGATGTGTAATTAGTTGGCAGCTCTTTCAAAATCAATTGAGCTTTGTGATATCTAAACACATCCACTTCCAGTAAGTTCCCTATAATTCTTTGTCCTTCAGACTCAATGCAGTTTGTTATGTAAATGCTGAATATATTTGTTTAAACATTTCTGTCCAAGTATCCTAAATCCATTTAGAGCGATTATTTCTTCCAAGGAAAAAACAAGAGTCCTTCACTGACATTACAGCAAGTACAGCACAGCACACCCAGCTGTATGACAACAGAAGTGTGTGTGCTATTGTCTATACTTGAGAAATGTTGGAGGACAACAAAATTAAAGGCCAAAGATCTGACTGTTCAAACCTGATTTTCATATTTCATGGTTACTGTGACATTCACAATGGCCAATCAGAGGTTTTAATTCCATGTATTCAAGTATCAGATTCTGAGAAACATGTTCTCCTGTAGAGTGGAAAGAGAAATTGGGATTTGCCAGAGGGGAAAAAAAAAAAATCAAAACCTCAAGTCTATCATCCCTCCTGAAAAAGAGGCCAGGGATTAAAGGTTTAGAGTACATTCAGCCCTGTCTCAAATAATAGCCTACTCACCAGTTTGGGACAGACTAGAGAGAAGGATGACGGTAATTCCTTCTTATTCTCCCAGCTTGCAACTTTATCAGGACTTGATGCAGAAGGTTTGACAATTATAACAATGATACCCAATAACTAGGAACATCGCCAACGGTCATCAAACTACCAAGACTTAAAAATGACCAAGTATCTCTAGAACAGCTGTGTTGCCCTAAGGAAAGTGGCTACCTTTACATACTGTCCTCTTGTCAAAGGTTCTGTCAGAACAGGGTAAAAAAACCCCAAAAGCAAAGCAAACATTGTATGAACTAGAGAACAATAAAGCAGCCCTCCTTTCCCCTCCAAGTGAAAAATGTGGCTATGCTTCTGCACCGGCTTGTTCTAATACTGCTGTGGGGAGGAAGGAATGGCAGAAGGACATAAGGTAAGAATGAAGGAAAGAATCCTAAGGGATTTACATGATGCCTTGCGAAGAGCACGTCCTGAACTTACCCAATTTCAAACATTGTCTTGCTCTTCTGGATGGCCTGGGCAAGGCACTTTCCTCCTTCACTAGTTATTTTGTTTGCTCCTATTCTGCACAAAATACATGAATTTGTAAGGTACATCACTTACAACTGTACAGCTAATTAGCACACCAGCTCAGAGAGCAATACAAGTATTTCAGGCTGATTATCTCTGAAGGCTAGCTATAGTTATCAAAGATTTACCTAAAGTAAGAAAATACTGCAGGCATTTGACCTTTGATTAAAAGACATAATTTTATGTTGTCTTTTACATATTTTGCACGTCAGCCCTCCGAATCAGAAGTATTACAGTAGAGTCTTGGTTTTGATACTCAGTATGTCAGAAATGAGCCTTAGGAGATGATCCTCAAGACAAGGCCCCCTGCCTAGTTTTAATACAGTTCATAATATCAGCAATTGCTACAGAGTACATGAATTACATGCAGCATGTTTCACAGTGCCACAGGGAACAGAATATTTCTTGGTTGTGTGGCTCCAGAGGAGATTGCAGCTGATAAGCACAGTAATAATTTCAAGTCTTTCTCTTCTGACCACAGGCTATAGGTAGTGCCACAGGTCAATGCAGTGGTGGGTGTCTCTGGCTGGCATGACAGAAGACCTTTTTTTTTTTTTTTGGCCTGTATGGAGATATCAAATGGCTGGAGTTGAGAGAAGTCTCAGTTGCATATACATTGATGTAAAGAACAAACAAAAACCAAACCTCCTCAATCCACTGTATTTACATAAAGTAAAACTGCCTTGTTTGACTGACGTCGGGCACATGAATATGCACTCTATCTCAAAATATTCTCTGGGGTTATTACACAGCCTGAAAGTAACTACCTTCCAACAGGCTTTACTGTGAAAGTTAAATAAGCAAAGCACCGTCTCAAAGCAGTGAAAGAACCAAAGTGCTCTTGGTTTTCAAAACCCTGCAAATATTTCAAGTGAGAAAGATGTGCCTAGCGTGGGATTTCAGAACAAGTTAGCGGTAGAACAAGGACTAGAATCCAGGTGTCCCTGGCTGCAACATCCATACCAACAACTGACATTGCTGTAGTTACCTCTATTTTCTGCTATGGTCACAATTAAACCACTGGTTAATGATCTACTTTTATGTCAAACCACTGTTGTGCATGGCCAGACACTCTTATCTGGGGAAGTTCCAGGAAGCTAAAGGGAAGCAAACTGGGGAATTCCAGAGCTGAGGTATGACACCAGCACAACCTGACGTGAATGGCTCGTAAAAGACGGGATGTAAAGCTTGGTACTAAATACAAGTGAATTCATCCACTGCAAGGGGCAGCAAGATTCATGCATCCTCACTCAGGTACTCAGTCTGGATTTAGGTAAAGAACAGGTCTCATGCTCTCCTTTTGCTTTCTCCTATATTCCAGTTAAGACTATGGATTAATGAGTTTTACTTGCTGCCATTCACTGCTAGACTACTGTAAAATAATATGCAACTGCAACTCAAGTTATATTTTATTTGAAACATCATTTTTGTCTTTTTTTCCACTCTCCCTCCCATTTCAAGTTGTTTTACCTTAATTAGGACACTGTAGAAGTATAAAGGAAAAAAAAATCCAGCATACTTAACGTATTCAAGACTTGAACACTCTTCAATTAGTTTTGCAACATATTTGGCTCCAACATCAGTGATTTGGTTGTTGTATAAGCTTAAAGAAAAATCACATTAGTAAAAATAGGTTTTTTCTGTTACTTTAATATTTACAACTTGAATCTTTTATAATGCATGCATAGCACCTGTCTTTTTTGTATGGCTTTGTACACATTCACAGTTGCTTTTATTTCTATTTTGATGTACAATTCATATTGTGAAGGGCTAGATATAATATATAAGGAGATCAGACTGTAAATCATGGGAAAATACTATGGTCTCCCCAAGCAAACAAAGCTTCTTTATTCCTGTGTTAGTACAGAAAGAACATTGCCAGAAGAGAAGTCAGAAGAGAAAACACCAGAATAATTATTTTTGGTCTTTTGAAAGTCATAAAATCCCCTTGCAAATGTTACTAAAGATCAGATACCCGAGCAGATGTACTTACATTAGGGCTCTGGGAGAAGAAGTTGACTCTTGGTATTCATTTCACTTTTCAAAAAGTAATTTTTATGTAGCTACTTAAACAAGTAGCAGGAAGTCAGAGCTAACATGCCTTCCACCTTCAACTTGACTAAGAACTAATTAAGGTCTTAAAGAAATTGGTACTTCATATGTGAAAAAAACATGGCTACACAAAAAGGGAACCATGAACACGATACTTAAGCTGTATGTTTCTGATCCCAGTCTCTATCAAGCTGTATCTGCTTTGCATAATTGAAATAAATCAAGTTTACAGCAGAGAAAACAGAAGGCTCTAGCTAAAATGCTCATGCTCTGTCTCCCCCTTGCCACAGCCAGCAAAAGGCTTTAGGTATAAAGCTAGCATGCCCCCACAGTTCAGTAACTTGACACTGTGTTACAGAAGGGCTTGATGTCAGTGGGAGGCCAGGCTGTGAGGCAGTGGTCCTTTCCAGGGAACTGTTACAGATGTCAGATGAATAATTTCTGACACTAAATGCTGCTTTGCTTATGTTCAGTAAATGCGGAGGTAAGTGTTGTTTCCACCCCACCTTTGCTGAGTCAGTACTGTCAGCACTGGAGTTTTACTTTCTAGTATCAATATCTAGTGTTTTGCTCCCAACTGGTACATACCCTAGGAAAGTCACAATTTGGTACTTTGAGAGTTCTTCATATAAGATCCTTACTCCGTGATCTGTGATCTGATTTACACTGAGCCTGGAATGAAGGGAAAGAAAAGGGAGTTTGAATCAATACAGATTACAAGTGTTCATCACCCATGAGTTAACAAATGACTGGAGCATTTTCCTCTGATATTTTAAATAGGTCCTTATGCCACGTATTAAAAGCCACTGAGGGAAACGTGAACTCAGTTTCATATGGCTCACTTCAAAACCAAAAGAAAACAAAAAGCCTCAAATCTCCAAGGCAAGGCTCTGGAAGCTGTCCATAGAACTGAAAACAATAAAATGTAGTAAGTCAGAAACCAGAGACACACACTTCATCTTTCTCCTGCGCTTACTGTGATTGCAGGAAGAAATTCTGCTTGACACCCTAGCAAAAGCAAGCTTTCCAAATTACTCTTCTTGTAAACTTCTCTCTGGGTAGCTAGTGAAAGCTAGGCATCTTGAAAGTCACAACACATTCAGGCTTCACTGAAAAAAGGTTGTGAAAAGCCCTGGCCAGGTAATAGAACTGTAGTCCCTTGAGTGTGCTAGATGTTTCTAATTTTATTGTCCCAACTAGACATGAAACAAATCAACGTCAGCCATTCACAGAATAAAAATACTTCTTTTCACAGTTGGGTTTTGCTTTCTTTGTCTTTTTTTTTTTTTTTTTTTTTCTTCAAAACCACTTAAAGATTTTCCACCTTAGCTAAATGGACAGGTTCCCATGAAACATTCCAATTCTGATAAATCACATTTTCTGGGTAAAGCTGTCTCAGTGAAAACATTTTGACCATCTTTAGTTTCAACACACACTCTGAAGCTTAACATTCACTGCTGAGAGTTCCTTATCACCAACAGCATCCCTGGCTACTGCTGGTTTAGTGACTTGGTCACTGTGAAATGCACTAGCACATAGGAGAAATCAGAGGTAATTTCTACAGATCAGAACAGTCTGCTTCTTTGAAAGGGATGATTAAGCTGTTAGAAACAACATTTCCTGACCTGCAGAAATTGGTCATTAGAAATGAAAATCCTAATATCAGAAGAGCCATAAAGACAAAAAGGGAACCTAACAGACCGGTTTGGTGCTGGGGATGGTGTTAAGATCACACTGTGTATGGCATGATCATACGACAGGGAATGAGAACTCTGTTTTGCCTTATGCGTTTTTCCCCAAAGTTTCCTTATTCCCTTCTCTTTGAAGGTTAGCTGATTTGCAACTAACTGGAAAAAAAAAGTGTCATTGGCTTTGATTTAGTCCTAGAGGAAAAAAAGGCAGAGCAGAACCAACCAGGAGGAATAAATCCATTTATAAAAAAAACCAACCCTCTCATGGGGCTGAAGGGGCTTTAAAAAAGATATATTTGACGTTCCAGGGTTTCTGAACCTTAATGTTTGGACAAATAAGGTATAGGACTGGAGATGGAACAATCTGGCCAGTGATACAAAAGGTGGAGTTTGTTCTCCCTGATCACACCACACCATGTCCTCCTTCCACATCACCTCATGGAAACATCGCATCTAAAGGCTTCAACTGCATCCCTTCATGGAGTACTACATGTTAGCTTTTGTACTGTGAAAGCCAGACATCCTGGCAGGATGCAAAAGCAAGAAATTCAGAGCTTTTGATCAAGGGTTATTTTCATCCCCTCTTACCCCATATGACCAAGGGCAGAGATAGGCTCAGGCAATCTTCAGATAACGGAGGAAGCACTTGTTTCCTTTCTTTTACTTGAAGCACTTTCTCCCATAAAAAATCCTCTTTTGAGACAAAACAATCTGAGACAGAGCTAACTAAACCTAGAGGTTTAAACACTCCTGGCTTCTAAGAACTTCTTATCCCCCTTTCCGTTTGGGTTTCCAAATTCACAGCTTGTCCCTGCTCCTGTGACTGGCTGAACAAAGATTTCAGAAGATCTGAAACTTTAATTTCCAGCAGCAGCAATAATCCTCATCTTTCTCCACTTTCACAATCAATTCCTCCAGCCTAGCAGTTTGTGGAATAAACCAAGGATTAAGCAAGGACCTGCTTGCACAGACTCCTACCTGATCACTGCAAGCTTGCTGAAACAAGGTAGCAGCTGTTTTACTCCATAGTCATTGATATTGTTGTTGTCCAAATCTAGAGCCAGGTGCTTTTGGAAGTGATGCACAACAAAGGAAACAGCACTGCAGTCAGCAGAGTAGGCATTGCAGTACGTCAGCTTGATGTAATTGGCTTGCATACGTTTGGCAGCCAACTTCGCTACTTTCTCACTCCGAGTCTCGTAAAGGCATCTCAGCATCCAAACGAAGTTGGGCTGGACCTGGATCTGATTGTAGTTTGAAAGCCTGGACCGAGTGAGGCCCTTCAGGTGGGATTTCATGCTCTCCCCAAGGTATGTGATGAGTGTCTTTATCTTCCTCTTAACGACTGCAGGCAAAACTAAATGTCTGAAGAGCTTCTGCTTGGATCTAGAAAGCAGGCCACAAAGAAACAGGTTGGTAAAATGAAAGTGTTCATTATTTCGAAAAGGATCCTCCCCTGCTAGTTGTTTCTTCAACCAGGGAATACGAAGGCAAGTAGGCTGGGCAGTCTCAGTGGAAGAACATCCATTGAAAAACTGAAGTAACTCCTTGGCACCCACTTTCTCTTCAATAACCAGGAACAAAGCTGTGAAAAAAGACTGAAGGGTTAAGTGTAAGAACTCGTAAGTGGACTGACTGTCACAGCCACTGTAACCTTTAACTGTCCTGAGAAAGCCCAACTGCAAATCTTCTTCAGAGATGCTCACTGATGAAACCTCCTCCTGCTCAAAGATAAAGAAAGAGTTCTTCATCCCTTTGTATGCCATTTTACCCAAAGCTAGAAGAGTTTCCTTTCTTGATTTGAACGTCTCTGCTTGGCTCCTGGTGTTGTTCTTCAGCAAACTTGTTTTCAGAGATCGGTTCAGATGCACTTCAATCATGAGCAAAAATACATCTGTCAATGTAACAGAACAGTCTGGAAGCTCATGGCTGTCGAACATGGCATGGAAATGTTCATAGCATTTAAAGATAATCCAACAAAATAAAGGCACTGAACACAAACTGCAGAGACTGGGGTTAGCTTCCAGCTGGTTCAACACCAGTGTTCGTTGCCTCTCATCTTTGAAAAACATGGCCATGTATTCCTTTAGGTTATCGCTGGAGAAACCACGGAGCAACACTTTTTTTCTAATGATGTTTCTTTGGATCTCAGTTCCTGTCCTTGCTGTAAGAATTTTCTTGGCTCCCTTAAGAAGCTTTCCTCTGAGAAGGCTTACCAGCAGCACCAGGGGATGGACGGGTTCATCAGGTGAACACATCTCAGGAACACTACTGAGATCAAAGTTGGAATAGATCTCATCGAAGCCATCAAATGTGAAAAGAACTGTATGAGGGAATTGCAAGATGTGATGGAATACCTCTGTAGGGTCCTGGTCTGGGTAGCAATTATATTTGAAGAGTAGGTCTTTCAAACATATGGCTTCATCTTCCTTAAAGCAACTAAACATCCTACATCGGAAACGGAAGAAAAATTTCGCCCCTATGTCCAGTCCTTTTCTGGCCCAAAGGCTTTGTATCTTTTGCAGCAAGATGGATTTTCCAATTCCAGCATCACCAAAGACATAAATAGTCTCTCCATCTTCATTAATTAGCCCAACTGCATCATCAAAAAGAGCTTCTAATTGACACACTTTGCCTAGACTCTCATTGGTAAAACTGACCAGCTCCATAATACTGTTAGAGTAGATTTCTTCAAGCAGCATCTCTTCCCTCTGAGCGTATGACATAACAAACTTGGAGTCCCGTCCCAGTTCATATCTGAGTTTCTGGCAATACCTGCTAACTAAAAAGACAGTGATCTATTATTAAGAAGCCAATGACCCACCTCTTTGGGAACTGAGAGGGGACAATAAACTTAAAAAAAATTCTTATGTAAAATGGGTTCTTTGGCAGAGTACTTCTAATTATTTGTGCTGCCATCATTACTTTCCTGGGAAAATGAGGTGCTAATGAAAGAGGTAATGTGTGAGCCACCCTTTCCTGAAAGCCAGTACTGACACTGCACTGCTTTAAGGGGCTGCTGTCCTTCAGCTGAGGCTCAAAGCCAAGCTGCTAACCTCTGCAACAGCTTTAGCATCTGCTTTTTCACTCTATTTATATTCTACATGTGATTTCTATCAGGTAGGTGTTTATTCTTGCCTAACTTGTTTGGTAATTTTTATTATATTTATTATAGAAGGCATGTGTTTTAGAAATGGGATGCCAGGCACCTCAAAAGATTTTTTTTAAGGTGACCAAAAAAGAAAAAAGTGTCTCAGTTATTGTGCAATGTTAGCTTGTGTTTTTATTGCAACAGAAACTTTGCTTCAGATTGGAGCAAAGTAATTCTTGTATTTATATAGTATGAAAAAACCTCTCAAGAGGAAAACATTTATTTCTGGAATACTTTAGCTCTGACTTTTAGTATAACTCATCATTTAGGATCATAGAATAATTCAGGTTGGAAAGGAACTCAGAAGGTCTCTAGTTGAACCTCCTTCTCAGAACAGGGTCATTTATGAGATCACATGAGGTTACTCAGGGCTTTATCTAGCTGGATCTTGAAAACCTCCAAGTATGCAGAGTGCACAGCCTCTCTGGGCAACCTGCCTCATTGCCTGACTGCCATCATCATGGCTATTCCATTGCCAAAACATCACAGTGTTGTTAATAAATTGTAGTAGTGGCCTAGAAAATACTACAGCTGGCACAAGGTGGTTATGCCTCTACACTACATATCCACAACAAAACACAGAAAGCGCTTGACTTCAGCAAAACAGGATGTAACGTATCAACGTGACTGTTGTTTATACAGTGTGCCTTTTAATTATTTGGCTACCGCTGCTAGCAAGCACAGCATACACACATTTACTTTCCCTGGCTGTGCCTGCCTAGACTCTCTTACTTTCACATCGCCTGGTTAGAGCTTCCTACATAGCAGGGTAGTTCTAAGGGAAGGGAAATAGATGCATGACCTTACCTGGATCTGTATTTACCACAGGCTTACTACAAATATTCTCTGAAGGCTCGTAACCTATTTCATCCAGCCAAGGCTGAAGTTCATAGTAAGCATCAGTGACTTTCTGCAGGACACAGATGAAATATTCTGAGACTTCTTCTCCCTTGCTCTGAACCAAGTCTAGAATTTTGCGAACCTAAAAAAACACCACATGAAAGATCACCGATGCACAGCATTTTATGACAGCTACACTTGTAGACTTCTTTAGGATCCTTTTTGGACTGGAACAGGGCACCAAAATCAAAACTGGTGCTTCAAAAACTTGAATTCAAAATCTATCTCTGAATTTGAACCATCATAAAACTGACTTTTCTATTTGTATTTTGCAATAAAGTTGATTCTGCAACTTAAGGTCTGAACTTGTAGCTAAATTGTACACCAACCAGAAACAAAATGCATAAATACCGCTCCTCAATAGGGAACTCAAAGGATTTCCTCAGCAGGGAACTCAAAGGATTTCCTCAGCTGGACCAAACCGTGTATTTTACATCCCATGCTGGTTAAAATAAAAAAAGAAAGGAGTGGTTTCCCAGCGCCCTAAATTCACCCTCTGGTTTGTAAATATTCTGGTCACATTTAGATTTACCTCAGGATCAAGCCAGATCCAGAGCAGGGCAGGCATAACCTCTCCCTGGATCTTAATGCAGATCCAAAAACCTACAACTCTTCCTTTTAACACAGCAACCCAATTCTGCAGGCTCTCCCTGTGCAACGGACTCACTGCCTGCACCTGTTACTAATGGCTACCTGGTAGCCGCTGGAGCAGTTCAAGACCAAGTGTTACCTTTAAAGACAAGGCAGAGACCAATCTCGGTGCAACCAGTACAGGGCACCTCTAGTACAAAACCCTCTGCAAGACAGAGCAATCATCTGAGGCCCATTTTGAATGTCTGGATCATCTTCTTGATGGAAATGAATGAAGAATTCAGTTCTAAACCAAACAAAGGGTTTCCAGAGACTGCAGTGTCTTGTGAACTTAAAGCAGGGTGAGGTACATACAGCACAGCAAAAGCACAGTATTTTTTGACAATTTGTATGCTCTAAAAACCAATGCTGTGCCTTCCAGAGAAGCTCCCACAGAGTCCACTTCACTTACTATTGTGGCCTGCTCTCTGTCTCTGCTTAGCCTCCTGATGCATGGCCTCCCCCTCAGCTTTGTGACAACAATCACGTATATTATGCCAAACAGTAAGAAATAGAAGTGATCATACAGTGTGCATTTATTCAGCTTTGACCATTTGCACAGAGTGAGCACTACGGTACTGTTTCAACTTGCCAGCAAGAATTACTATTTAATGAAAATCTGCACTGTTAGTGAAGTCCAAGGTCTCAGCATGTTTTATGGTTTGCCTGCCTCTAACTGTGACACTATTCTGAAGCTGCATGACTGGTGCAAGGAGCAACTCTGTACATGAGATAATTTTCTCCTATCAGAAGACCAGGAAATAATTTTTGCTACTCGTCCAAAGATTAATCAAAACCCCAAATGTGCCAGGATATATCAATTTTCCATACAACCATTCACAATGTACATAGGTCTTTAAAGAGAAGGGAAGGTGTGCACAGGGACAACACACAATCATTAACTTCTAAAATAATATTTCATTTCCACCTCTCCTCCTCTAAAGCAGGATGATCTGTCCCACAGCATCCTGAAATAGATTTTCCTTGCAATACTCCACACAATAATGAAAGCTTGTGTGTAGCAAGCTGTGCTCTAACAGCCACTGTGGTCACCTCGCTATCAGAGGGCAAAGCTGCAGCTGGGGGGACAGAACACCAATTATCACCCTGCTTGTTCTTACAGCTGCCAAGGGGCATTACAGGCAGTGCCAGCCATGCTGGAATGAGATGTGCTGCAGAAACCTGTCCAGAAGGAAGGGAGGGAGGAGACTCCAAAATAACAAAGACTAGAAAAGACAGTAGATGTAAAATTGCCAGATAAGGCTATAGAACCCAGTGGTAAACTGAAAGTAACAAAAAGCTTACACTGGCTAGTGAAATAAAAACAACATACCTGGTCTGCTTGAGTTGGAAACTGGACAACAATCTCTGCATCTTCAGTGGAGAAGTAGTCATTCTTAATCAAGTTGTCAATCAAACACTGCGTGTTTCGGATTCTACTGACCAGAAGTTCTCTGTATACCTTCAACAAAGCAATGAAGGATGGAGGACTTGCTCCTGCAGGCTTTTTCACAGAAATCTCCAAGTTAGCACAAAGCTGGCCTTCCATAGTTGAGATAGCAAGAAGCTGCTCCGTCTAGCCTCATCTTTGACAAACTGTCCATTTGCAGTGAGAAGGCAGCTTGGACTTAGCTTCAGGGAAACAGGCAATGTGTCCTCCACATTACCCAGTCTGTAAAAAGCAATTGTATATAACCTCAATTTAAACCTTTAACCTATGCAGATATATCCGTCAACTAGCTGTCAAAGAAAACTTCCAACCTCTGCATAATATCACAGCCAATTTTATTAAGAAAAAAATCCCAGATTTCTTCCTCAGGTATTTTCATCTATTTGCTCAGGTTTTGGAAAAAAAAAAATATCTGTTGCAGGCAGTCTCCCCTCTACTACCAATACTGTACTGTAGCTTGCCTCAAACACCACCATTGGCATCTGCTTTGTTAGCTGCCTGTTCTTAGTGCATAATTTAATATTTTTATTAACTTTCTATGTTTCAATAGAAAAAGCAGGGCATCTGTCCAAACATATCTGGAGAAGGAAATAAATGGAATAAAATTATATTTTATAACAATTAATTTTGTAGGAGGAATTAATTTATAGTAGCAATTCACTTTGCTTATTCTTTGTTACAACAACAGACCCTATATAAACACCCCTGTAAGGAAGGCCTTGTGAACTCTGAGACCGTTCTAGCTAAACCAGGAAAAAGCCGTTAGCTTCAGGGCACCAGGTTTGAGAGGCAGTAGTGAGACTGAAAGAAAACCCCTCATCAGATGTTTCTTTTAAGGAAGTCAAGAGTAAAGTGACGCTTACAGGAAAAATGCTGCTGTAGATTTCAGAGCTAATACACCACTTAGGGGCACAGAGCACTTCACACCTCCTAAAGGTATTGGTTCAGACAGCATATAAAACTAGGGAAATACCATTGCATTAGTTTAACTTGGTTAATCTTAGAAAATTCAGGTGAGTAACCATGGAAGTTAAAAACACATTTTTTTCAGAATCTGAAAAATAACAATGTTACAGAAATGACTGAAATAAGTGATCATAAATATACAAGATCCCATCTCTAGTGAATCACCCAAAAAATCTGAACCTCTTCTTAAACAGGAATTGCACAGAATAGCTGATTTTATATGATGAACTAGGCCTTCAAGACCTCTTTCATCAAAATTCATATTCATTACTGCATTGGGCATCCAACCCACCTCCATCTTCATAAAGGGAAGAGATGCACACAATACAGCTTGTAACAAAGATACCAATTTAAAGCCTGTGCAAACACTTAGGCTTGAATGCCTGATGTCAGCCCCTGTATGTTCACCTAGAGACACAACATGATCATTAACTTGGACAGCTACGGGCTCAGGAAACCCTCTCATTGCTGTAGAGATGTTTAGAAACCGTACTCGTTAGCATGAATGCTCTCTCCCTGCCTACAAATACATATGCTGTGTATGCCCTCGTTCTCTATCCCAGCTCTGGAGAGCTCTTTTTAGATGGCCATCTATTCCCATTTTTCTTTACAAGGCATAAAGCAGTAGGTATCAGGATCAGACTGCTTTGTTACTAAAGGTTGTTTTTTCTTTAATTGCAGTTAACATACCATACATCAAGCATGAAGTTATATCCTGATTGCAATTCACCAATAGGTTCATTTAGGTACTACTTAGGTACGAACCTTGCAGATACGATTTCCCATGCAAAAAGCAGACTGAGATCACAACTGGGTCACCTCCACACAGACAATAAGAACTCGCATGATTAACACAAATTAGTAGCACCCTCCAATAACAGGTAAAACCTACTGTTGCTTCAGCAGGTCAAGGGATATTTGGAACAACGTTCTCAGGCTCTGTTTACAGTCATATTAATAAAAACAAAACACAATGCTCTTCTACAGCAATTCTGTAAAGGTGCCAGCTCTGCTGCTACAAAATTCTCACAATTTCCCAAGACACTCACAGTGCCAGCAAACTTTCGAAATGCTCCCCAGCACCGCCCTTGACAAGCCGTAACTGAGCCCTGCCAGCTCGCAGATTCTGCTAGGTGACCTGCTGACTAGAACAAACTCATTTCTATGGGTTTTCCATACCAGAACCTGCAGTCTGCACCAGTGTAGCTTCCCTTGCTTGACACTGCAGAAAGACACTTTATTCTCCTGCATTTTAGTGATACTACCTATCTACACCTCCTCTGATTTCAGGAGACCAATAGGTCCTAACTTAGGGTTGCTGACCTGCACAGATGCAGATAACTGCTTTAGGAGTTAAGTAAGCCCTCCCAAGTCTAAGACCAGGCAAAGCCCCAGCACAACTGTTATGGATCACAGCCAACTTCAAAACTGCAAAACTCTTTCAACGGGAATGTAACCAAGTGATCTGGCTTTCTTACCACATGAGTAAGTGACTGCATCTACTCAGACAAATCAACCTTTCATTATGCCATTCACATGACCCACAAGATGAAGTGGCTGACTTCTGAGTCACTCGGCTTCCTATAAGCCACACTGGCACATCTCTTTGCTCAAGAAAGCTCATTCCATAAATGAACTCTATCATGAAGACCTAACAATGCTGAAAACATTATTTACTCCAAAGCTTCTGCAAGCTTTTAGTTAAAGAGACAGAGTCACCTTAAAACACATGCAATAGAAATATTAACCCTTTTCTTTCACGATACTGCATCTACCCAATGTTCTCTGCTTGCTTTGGTTATTCTAGGACTATATTATCCTAATGCATTTTCTTTCTTCCTGCTTTGTGATAAGAACTGAGACAAACATCCAAGAAAGCATAATAATGAACCAAAGTGATGTCATGTGTACAAAACAAACAGAAGTATTTTCTTCACTCTTTCAGATGCATCTACAAAAAGGGTTAAGAAAAGAAAGAAGAGAAACAGCAAAAGGACAAGAACATGGAAAATACGGAAAGATCAGAAGACCTCAAAGACGCCTGCCCTACATCTAAGTCCAAGTCAGTACAGAACCTGATTGCTATTGGAAGGGGTATGCATACATATGCTGCAGGAGAGACCATGTTCCCTTTCACACAGCGTGATCTGCAGGGGAGTGGAGAAACAAGAGAGCAATCAAAAAAGAATATAAAGTGAGGCTAAGCATCAGGGGAGAAAAAGACAAAGACCAAAAATGCCGAGCAAGGAAGTCAGAGCTGGCAATATGAACTCTGTGCTTGATGACGTACTCAGTGATATTTTCACTGGCAATATTAACTTTAAGGCAAAAAACCCCACATCACCCAATACTGGAAAAAACAGTAATTTTCATCTGTTTCTTTTAATAAGAAAAAATGGAAATTTCCACCATGCATACACTAAGAAAACACCACATCAGATGAGCGGCTGAAAACTTTACATGGTGCTGGAAAAGAAAGACTTCCTGCCACACGTAGTTAAGGGCTAGGCAGGTATGTGCACGTTTGTAGCAAAGCATATCACCTATGCAAATAAACTTCAGGTCCCACTCAGACTAAAATAAACACAAAAAATTTCTACAGTAGCAGTTCTAGGTGCAACAGCACCTAAAAGTCCTGATCAGCATGAGAAATGTGCTTATTCTCTTAGAGAAACAGATGCCCATAAGATTCTGACACATACAATTCTGGTTTGCTAGGACATTTTCTTTGTTAGTTTGTTTGGGGTTTTTTGTTGTTGTTTTTGGGTGTTGTTTTTTTTTAAGAGACACAAGGCCAATGTGTTGACATTGTGATGTCTCCAACTTATCTACAAGTCCCTCATCTGTCTTTCTGGAAAGAGCCCCAGCTTCCAATGCTTTAACATGAGTCTTTTCAGTGAGGGATCACAAGGTTACAAAGCACTAAGTCTCTTGTTACAAGGATCTGTTAGTTTTACCATACTAGGTTACACATCTGGTATGGTTAAAGGTAAATACTTACGCAGCTTACAAATAAGTGTTGAATGAATTTCCTTGCTAGAGTTCATATCATGTTCTTTGCCTTTATCTCTGGCACTCCAGGTGCTGGATTAGTTTCCAGTGCAATTCTTGTGACTGATGTAGCATCAGTCATGGGGACCCTGTTAGAAAAGACTGAGACATCCTCTAATGGGAGACACCTGAGTGCACTGACCAAGGTCTAAGAACATCCACTGTTGAGAACAACTGCCTCATATCTGTAACTGTTCCATTTCTGAAAGGGATAATGAATAAAATAATTTTTCTGAAAGCCACCTTAAGGTTCTTTCAAACCTTTGTTAAACAACACTAAGTTATGGTAAAGACAGATCACCTGTTCTAACAGTAACAGCTTGTGAACACATCTGTTTAGAGAAATTAACATTATCATTGAGGTTTGTACACAGAAAGGTATGTACAGAGGGAGAAAGGGAAAGATTCAGTAGCTGAAACAGCAGAATACCTGAGGAGGAATGGAAAGAGACAAGAGAGATGATACCTGGGAGAAGCAGGAGTCTAGTATAAGGGGACAACAGGAAAGACACTTATTGGGAAAGCTTCTTGTCTGGGAACAGAATGGACTTCTTGTTCCCGAGAACAAAAATTTTTAAAAAAAATTATATACTCAAGAGGCTGACAATGACATTGGAGAGGAAATTCAGTTAGCTATTTTGAGGACAGCAGCTGCGGCCAAGCAGAAGACAGAAAACAGACTACCAGGAATTAAAAAGAAGCAGAGTGCTCACCCATCAGCTGTAAAGGCAAAGAAGAGAGAGAAGACAGGGCCTTGGCCAAATGAACTGTCAATGGGGATTGAACTGATGTGAAAAGTAACAGCAAGTGTGGCAAGAGATGCATATCATATGCCTGCATAGAAGAGAGTAACAAACAGGAAGCAAGATGGGGATCAGGCCAGGGACAAGGAGGGAAATGAAAAAGGGAAATGAAATTTGTCATAGTAAGAGGTACTGTAAAAGTACCAGTGCTTACAGAAAGGTTTTGTATAATCCATGTCAATAAACTGCAGCAGTGCTGATGGGCTCTGTATGAAGGCACTGGCACTTTTATTTAGTGGTTCTTCTGACTTCCCTATATTCTCAGCATTATGCATGCATATACATATTTACATCCTTCCTGGCCTTGCCCTTCTCACATCCTCTTTTCACTAAGATCTCCTTGCTCTTCTTCTAACAAAACTGCTATGCCTGTTCAACTTCCAGT